ATAAAACACAATTTCTTCAAACAGCACAATAAAAAGATTTGACTTTGTCTTAGATTAAGGCACCTGAAGCATTATTTTTATATTTTTTATTAAAGCAATGATAACAGCTGCTTCATTTACAAGACAAGACAGCTTGAAACTGAGAAGTTGTGCAAGTGGTCTTAAAATAAGGAAAATAATCTGGGATATTCTACAAACCATTGTTGTAACTTAATTGTAGCTCCATATTAGCTTTAAAAAAGGGCTCCTTTCCCAGAAACAAGGCTTTTTTATTCCTTTCTTGAGATTCCTTTTTTGCTGTGTATTGCTTTCAGTTCATTATGTAAACCACTTAACAGCCGGTGCACTGTGTGAGGTGATGGTGATGCTGCTGGGACGAGTGCGGGGCGGGAGCATGGTGGGGGAGGTGAGGTTAAGGCTCCACTGGAAAGCCGGATGTTGAGTCACTGGGTGTCTCACTCTTGTTTAAAAGTGCCAGCGTACAGTGGCCGGTCCAGAGGACAGGTTGTGTTTGTCTTGCTGTTGGCGTGAGGTCAGAACAGTGGGCGGCAGAGTTTGTTTAAGGCTGTAACCTTGGTTTTCAGGACAGACGAACGGTGGGGTGGATTCAGTTTATTTTACAATACTTACAGCGGACTTTGACCAAAAACAAGGCTGGAAAAATATCAAGTCTGATTGATAAACTTTGGTTGAGAATAACAATCTTTAGTTTAGAAACTGGGGTTGTCATGCATCCTGGAAAACATGGAAATTTAGGGGCTAGTTTTCCAGTTATGGAAACGCCTGGAAATCAACTACAATGACCAAATATCCTGGAAATAATCTCTGTTGTCCAGGAAAATTCTAACTAAGCCCTTCACTCGGGTCAGCTACGTACATGTATTTTGTGTGAAACTCGACTGTTTGTATGATAAGTTAACCAGAATAACACTTCCCTTGTCATTCCTGTTCCCATGTCAGTCAATCTAGCTGTTCACACCTGCTCACACTCGTTGTGGTTGATACATAAATGCACAGTGATGTTAATTGTAGCAAACAAACACTTTAAGGTTCAAGATTGCTTTATTTGTTCCCAATGGTAGATTTGGTTTGCAAATCTGGTTGCTGTCCTGTATCATCGAGAAAAACTGGAAAATGATTTTTAAAAAGAGTGGGAACTACGAAGAAATCATAACCCAAATTAAAAACTATTTCAGAGTGTACTTACACTGTCTCACATGCTGCCTGATTAGTTCAAACCTGCACATAAATCCACAGAAGGAGAAATCAGCAAATCCAAAGCAACCAATTATTTAAAAATGTCTTTCCTTCCTGAGAACCCAGAGGGAAAGACGATAAAAGACTGAAACTCGTAGAATCAACAAACAAATACATTTACAAGCATTTTTTTTTTTTTTTTCTGTTTTAATGTCAAACCTTCTACTTCAACAGATCCCAGACCTGGAGAAGGAGCTGGTGGACTTGAAGTCTCCCTCTGCTGAAGACGTCTCCAGAGTGCTAGAATCCTACCAGAACCAGGTTAGAATCTTTACACATACCATAAACCATAAATAAGACTGAAGTTGAACTTAAGATATCCGAAACCCTCCGACCTCTGTTTTCATGTGAACTGCTGAGAGTCTCAGCCTCAGTCTCAGTCTGTGTTGATCATTTTGTGTTCTCTGTCCACAGAGTAGTCTGGATTCTGAGAAGCCTTTTGTCTTGGACAAGCACATGTCTGATATTGACAGGTAGGCCTTAAATATAATATAATATAATATAATATAATATATATCATATAATAAACATAATCTGACTGATGTGTCATAAAAACTGGTAAACAAACAACAAATACCATGAAAAGACCAAAACTAACATTGTTTTCAAACCTAGAACATATATATCAATAACTATAAATAAATAATTTTAAAACTCCGTCTAACTCAAGTGGGTGTCGGGATCCACACCACAACTTTTACAGTAATGACAGTAACGAACAATATCGTTTGAATTACTTTCAAACCGATTTGATGAACAATATTTTAGTATATAACTTCATAAATGCTTAAAGAACTTTTTACAAAACAGAATTTTTCCTGAAACATACTACCAAACTGTCTTTAGCGCTGATGGCGTCTCAAGTTTGTTTGGTCCTTACTGATTTTCTCTCATACGGAAGAATGAATACATTTTAGCAACTCTCATAACAGAGTGTTGGATTCTCCTAACACGGTTCCATCAACACATTTGTATATAAACAGGTGTATATAGTGTAAATGTAACTACATGTACTACTGTATTTCTCTTATTTTATTTTTATTTAAGGTGTATTTTCTTATCTATTGTGTTGTGTTGTGTCTTGAGCTGCCGTAACAAGTGAATGTCCCCAGTGTGGGATCAATAAAATTGATCTTATCTTATCAGTGTAGATGCTCACATCGTTATCGTATTTTTATAGTTGTGGTTCTCCGTGCGGACAGCTCTTTAATCTGTCCTACCCTGCTGTGGCACTCTGCCACAGCAGGGCAGACTCTCCAAGACCAATCAATCTCCAAACGCTGATCAGTAGTTTCCTAAAACAGCAGCAGCACTGTAGTTTTACCAGATGTTATTCAAACAGCAAATAGTGTATTTATTGGGGAGTATTTTTATTTTAGATTTGATTTTAATTGACGTACACTTTGTTGATGACAGAAAAAATATAGAATATCACAAAAGGGACCTGAAAGCATCACAACAAACACAAATAAGAGGTTACTGTTCTTAACCTGCTGAAAACATGAATAAATGTTGGTCTTTTCCTCCTCTCAGGCTGTTCAGCGGCAGCAGCGTGGAGGGCATCGTGCAGAACCTGAAGGCAGACGGATCAGAGTTTGCTAACAAGCAAGCTGAGGTGTGATCCTGACCTGCAGCTTTTAGCTGATTTTAGTTTGTTCTCCAAGTAACTGTACAGAAATCTAGCAGCACTGGTGCAGAGGCATGCTGACAGCCTTTTACTGTCACACATGTACCTGCTGTATATTGTGCTCATAGAAACATATTTTAAAGAACTGCTGTACAGTCCCCTCTGTGCCGCTCTGTTACGCAGATAAATCCCACTGGCAGTGCTAGATGGAACTAGGGCATTATTTGGCTTTAGTATATGTTGGTAATTAGTAGTTACCTCAGTTTAAGCACTTAATGGGGTTAGTCTTAGTCTTGTGTCTTTTAAAAAAATCCCTCCTGTGAGATTTCAATGCTCTTAAGAGACCACAGTGGCTTCATTCCACAAATTTTCCTTTAATGATTCTAAAACTGACTCTTTGTGTATGTGACTCTTGTCTCGGGTTGTACATTTCACGCCATTTCCACCCAAATGCTCCAATGAGATCAAATCTAGGTAGGAAGGCGTATATGCTTATGCAACAGTGCACATGCCCCACATAAGAGCCCCCTCTCAACACCCCTCCCCTGTTCACTCAACGTCCACTCCAGGATTAATAATACTGTCCCACCAGTCTGCTGCTCTGCACTGACTCATAATGACCTGTTTGTTGTTTCATTTGTGACATTTGAAATGAAGTTCACATTTTCTGGCTGCTTTCATTCTGCTGGATTCCACAAACATGTAAACACTTCCAGGATTCGTTCTAACCACGAAAATCTGAATTGGAGCCAATGAAGGGGGGTGGGTGTTTATATTTATTATAAACCCACTTCCTTAGTTCCTACTACACCGCTGACTCACTGTCCTGCCTTTCACATTAAACATTCAAAGCCATCTTAATCCTTAGTTACACATCGCTTTGCCTCTTTTTTCTTTTTTTTGTTATCTAAAATCCGATCATCACCATCTTTCTGTCTGAGTCTCTCACACAGCCTGTGTCTCCTCTCCCAGACACTGGCCAGGATGTCTCCCACGTCCCTGAAGATCACCTTTAAGCAGCTGCAGGCGGGTGCAGCTCTGAGCCTTCCGGACGTGTTGGTGATGGAGTATCGACTGAGCCAGGCCTGCATGGTAAAAAAAAAAAAACCCAGTGGTTTAGTTCATTTGTTATTAGAGTAATATATAAAAAGGACTTCATTAAAGCTGGGAAGTACAAATACTTAGTTTCTGTACTAATTTTTATCTTTTAGTATTTATATTTCGGACAACTTTTAACTTTTACTCCCTACATTTTCCCATAAATATCTGTACTTTCTACTCCTTACATTTTCAAAACAGGCGTGTAACTTTAGTTTTAATGCATTTGAGGGGGAATTATTGATTATTATTGTTATTTTTTGCATCATTGCGCAACTTCCCAACATCAATAACAGTGCATATCATGCATGACACATGGCGAAAAAGAGGCGGAGAATTAAATTAAAATTGAATCCCCTTTTTTACTAAATGTAACTGATTACGTCTTTTTCTCTAACAGCAACAGATTACATAACTCTTTTACATGTAATCCATTACTCCCCAAGTCTGCATCTCATGTGATTGTTTCTGTTGATTTTCAGAGGGGCTGCGACTTCTACGAGGGTGTCAGAGCTGGTAAGTGAGTGGATGGGAAACAAAAGAGGAAAATGGTGGATTTCAGTGATGTAGTGTAATTTATATGGAGCCATATAGAACGGAAGTACAATGAAAAACAAAGTAATATTGATTCAAGAGGTTATTAAAGAGTCATTAAATAATAGTTTTCTGCATGTTTACAGTACTGGTTGACAAGGACCAGAGTCCCAAGTGGAACCCATCCACGCTGGAGGAAGTGTCTGAGCAGACCATGGAGCAGTGCTTCTCCTCGCTGGGAGAGAAAGACCTGACTTTCTGAAGACTGTCAGCCAGCAGCTGCTTCCCACTTTCAATACACACACCACTAAGCCTTTGCCAGGCCTGCTGTCCCCACATCCCTTTATGGTCTGTGAGAGAACTGTAGTGCTGAGGATGAGAGAAAGTTATTTCATGACAAGTACATACATAGGTCATATACCTAATAGTTTGGACTCTGTACTATTAAATACTGTGGTGACATTTTACAGGAGACATCCAGGCTGCTCCTCTGCAGCTGAGGAAAAGAATCTGATTCACGTTCACAGCCAGAAATCTAAAATAGTAACAGAAGAAGTAGCCTTATGTGTCACACACGAAAAATGTTTAGAGTAAACTTGCTCTGCAGCAGAGTGGAGTCTCTTCTGCTGTAAATTCAAGAATCTGCCGCACCGCAGCATTAACAGGAGGACATAGGAGGGCGAATATGATCTCATCACTGAGTGCTTTATTACATTTCCTGTGGGTGTTTGTTGATGTGACATTGATCAGCATAATCTGTATTTCTGCTGTGTGGTCACTTGTTCTAATTTAGATAATGTATTGTCTCCATTTCTGCAGTTTTTGTCTCACATGAATAAAACAAGTATTCTCTGACATATGAAACCAACACTCCCAAGACAAACAGCAGATTCAGAAATATGTCTGTATTTGTACTCAATGCATTTACATGACTGTAGACAAATATGGTTTCAGCAGTTTGAAATGTGTGTGTGGTATCGTGTCACTGTTTTTGAGTAGGAATCAAATCACCCCCCCAAAAATCAATAGCTGCATTATTTATGAGACAACCAGTCAGATTATGCAGCCATCCTGGAACAGAAGGCAATAAAGAGAGCTGGTAATGTAACATAAACTGTCGTGTGTTATTGGTAAGTGAAGAAACTGCTCCGGTATAAAAGGAACTACAGTTATTGGTGGGCAGGAACTTTTATGAGCTGCTTATAAAGTGTCCTTGTAAAATAGTGACCGGTCTTTATAAAAGTGCCTTTGTTATCAAGCACTAGGCTGCTGCTCTGATATAAAGTCTGCAAAGTAAACACTTTAATTGCATGTTGGGTTACAAACCGCTTTGTTCCACCTACAGTGCTGGCAGGAAGTCTTACATATTTTATTTTATAGGTATATTTGTCTGTTACAAAGGTTACGTTCACACTGCAGGCACAAGTGGACCTGTGTGGAACTGTACAATAAACCCAAATAGTTGAGTTTTGAGTAGATTATTTCCCGTAAATATAGCATCATAGATGAGATTTTTATACAATCCCGTCTGTATTATGTATTTTATTTAGATTTTTAAGAATCATACATACTTATAGGTTTATTTACATACTTCTTTTTTGACAGATTCAGTGTTTTCTTTTGGCCATTGTTCTGTTAGCTCTTTGGTTGTTTTAAACTGCGTACTTTTCTAATGCAGAGAGTGAAGGCTCTGTGAATATAGTTTGTGTTCACGTTTTCAAGGTTTAGGTCTTAATAATCCAAACTTTAACTTTTGTTAACAGTGGAAAAAGAGAAAATAAAATATTGGCCTTCTGTGTTTAATGTTTTAAGTTTTTTTACACCCCGTAAAATCCTTTACAACTTTAATTCATATCTGTTTTAATTCTCCTCTACCTGTCTCAATAATCTCATTTCAATAGCAGCCTCTTATAATCTGTGCACCTCCAACTGCTGCAGCCAGTTTGAGACTCTTTCAGCCATCAGGCAGCTGGGATGACCTCCCACATACTGTAGGCAATAAACTGCTATAAACACAGAGAACGCAGTGTTTCTCTCGACGTCGCAGATAAACCCTCGTGCTTTATGGCTTCCATTTGCTCTTCAAACAAGCGCTGGCCAGCAGTCACTTCCAAATCCTCTTGTTTGTCCTCTTTGTGGCTGAACTTTTAACCTGCTGTGTGTTGACTCTCATACAGGATGCAGCATATCCTCTCCTGCCTGGTTCGACGAGTCTGTATGTGCCGCTAATGTGTTGAAAAACTGAATTGGAAAGTAATGATGAAATATTTCAGTAATGATAGAAGGCATAAATCTGATTTATTGGCATCATCAGCTTTTACACACACACACACACACACACACACTGTATGTACAGTTTGCAAGTTAAATGGATATTGTTGTACTACAGGAATATGCAAAAAGTCACACATTTTAAGTTATTTTATGATGAAATATTCACAGGCCGACATGTATCGTCTTACAGAGCTGCGTCCCGGAGGCTATTTTTCACTTATTTGGCAGCAGACAAATCCTGGAAACTGTTCATCAGGATATTGTGCTTCACTTTATAGTCAACTTCACCACTCTTTGACTTGTACATCAGAGGCATTGTGGGTACAGGCAGGGGCGGATCTAGAGGGGTGTAAGCTGCCACAAACCAATTTGAGGTCAAATTTGACATTAATTTAGATTAATTTTATTATTTAATGATCTGTTATGGACACATTTTAGACTAATTGATAGGTTTAAGTTCAATAAACGATGAATATTTGAGATATTTCTAATGCCACCTTTAGAGATTTGTATTCAATGCTTTACTAATGTGCCATAATTAATGTTTTTGAGTTTAAATATCTTCATTTGGGGGCTTTTCTAAGCAACTATTGATATATGTGATTGTCTGTGATTTAATCAGCAGATATTCCTACCATCCCTCAATAGTCTTCTCTGGCTAACCCATGACTATTTCTCTAGATCCCCCCTGGGTACAGGAGTCCAAACTCTGTGATCACCTGCACCAATAACGGTGATATAACACTAACCTGTGTCATAGGTAGTGTTTTATTGCAGTGGTTTTCAAACTGGGGTCTGGGATCTGGTTGTAGGGGGTCCCCAGCAGGAAGCTGGAACAACCAAGGAAGAAATAAAGTCGGCTGTTTTTATTGTCAGTTTGATCATTGACAAATTTATCAGAGGAGATTCCATAAGACAAAATCCTCTCAGACTGGGGCTCCGTGGTCTAATGTGCATTTATTGTGGGGGGGGGTTTGGGAACCCATGCGTTATTGGATTAGCTGATTTGGTTTCAGGCTAGTGGCACAGCTTTGAATTGTGGGCTAATACCTGACTTAACCAAGCAGCATAATATCTGTAGTGAAGGGAATTAAAGACTAGCCAGTTCACTATTATTGTCACTATTGTCCTGGCAGCCAAAGAACTCTTAAGCCATTAATTTAAACGAGAGCTGCAATAACAATGTCAGCTATTTGTAAAAATGTATTCGTTTGTGTTTAAAAAGAGAGTTTTCTTGTAATTTGTGTGTCCACATGTGAGGATTTGATGCTTTTCTTTGTCATATCTGATATCTGATCTAGCCTTTTTTTGGATGAATAAATCCTGCAAAGAGTGTTGGATGAGTCCGGCCAATGTAGCAGCATCTCCCATCGCAGTCGAAACACCTGCTGGTGTTAAATAATTTGAAATGGGTGACCTTTAAAAACTACAAATCACAGTTTCCAAAAGGAAGCATTGGCAGTCTTTCGGTCAGTGTTAAACGCGTCAGCTGGAAGACACAAATGTTTGAATGAAGATGTTCACATTGGATCAGATTTTTAACTCTTTGTGGTGCAGATACGGTCCCTTCATGGCTGCCCAAAGAAGGAAAATCATATTCACTGCTTTTCTTCTAGACAACCACAAGACCTGGTATTTGCCAGAGTTAAAAGATAAAAAAAAAAAAAAATCTTTTGTGAATCTGTAAACACAGAAGATTCCACGATTTGTATATTTTTTTCTCAGTGATGACAACATTTTGCACAGTAAAGCCAGACATCAGCATTATGGCAACATCTTTGACGTACAGCCTAAGGAATATAGATTGCCATCACCTGGTTTGGTGTGGTCTAAATGTCATTAAAATCATGTAAAATAAAATCATCTGCGTGTGAACTGTAAAGAAAATATGCACCTTTTAATTGCATGAACTGATCAAACAACGACTATCTCTTCACACAGCCGTCAGTTCTTTCTTGTGCTATTGAAACAGGCCCCTTTGGGTTTTTTCACATCCCAACATTCACACGAGAACAGTTCTCAGTGACATTTTATCTGACGCCAAACAAATGGCATCAGATTAAGAATCGGGAATATGACGTGTGGAGAGCTGTGTCATCTCTAATCTTTAGGGTGTTCACAACATGTTTGGGGGGAAAGAGATTCATCTGTCCACACGGATTAGTGCAAGTTTTATGTGTTAAGTGATGCGTTTGGCGGGGGTGTTTTACCTCTCGGATGATCAATCGTCACCCAGCTCACCTAAACAATACAGCTTGTAAACGGAGGCTTTGAAACGCCATTAACTGGGGTTTTTTGAACGCTGCTGCTCTTCACTACAAAAAACGGCACTTCAGACAGCACTGAAATGGCATTTGTATTGGTTCGACTTCCACAATACAGTGTTTGGTACTGGTCAGTTTTATGTCAATACTGAAAAGCTGTTACTGTTTATTAGAGGAGACTTGGGGAAAAGGCAAGTGGAGAGAATACCCTGCCACTGTTTTATATGGCTTATCAGCTTGTGTTAAAGTATTCTTACCATTACTGGTTCCTGCTATTATGGTTTTTATTTGATTGACCATTTGAAAGTCCCGCCCCTTTTTTGCTCTGTGCCCCAATAAGAGTCGAGCAAGCCTCGGTCAGAAGAACCTCCATCAACTTTCTCCTTTCTTGTACTTAGATATGCTACGTGCTAAACTCTTCTGTGTGGTAAAAACAAGCACATTTTAAGATGGTTAAAAGATGAGCAACGTGTAGCCGCATCTTAAAAAGGACCAGTATGTAGGATTTGCAGGCTGTAACCAACTGAATACAGCTCGCCTTCCAAGCGTGTAGGAGAATCTACGGTGGCCTTCGTGTAACGTAAAACCATGAATGGCCCTGTCTAGAGCAGGAGTTCGGTTTGTCCGTTCTTCGTCTTCAAAATGTGCTTGTCTTTTCAACATAGATTAGTCTAGCACGTAGCATATGTAAGTACAGTTGGCTGAGGTTCCCAAAAGGGGCGGGGCTTATAAAGGGTCAATTAATACAACACTATTCAGAGCTATTATCACTGCAAATAGCTGTGTGGCAGTTAAAGTGTCCTCATCAATGCTTTTCGGTAGAGCCTAGCTATCGGTATGAATTTTGGGTAAATCCCAATGACATCAGTTAGAGTTCCTGTGCAAGATCTGACCTCTAGGCCCTCCCCTCTGTCCGGTGGACAAAGACCGGACCCATATAACATCCCCTCTCATATAAATCATATAGTATAAAACAATTAATCTAAACTGTATTGGGCCCATAGTAACATTCATTAAGGACTTTGGTGGTTGTGAACCTCTATTCCAAATATATCTACTCTGGTATGTATAAGCGCCCTCTGTTATGGAGCAGCACCACACTAGAAGTCTCATATACACTGGATTGTAATGTCATGGGTTTCCAGGTTTGCATATCTGTGCTGTTGTCCTCTGTAGGGCAGATGGCAGTATTTCTCGGTCAGGCGTTGTACAATGACACAATGTTGACAAAAAACTAGGCCTACAACATTTTAGCCAAAACCAAGTTGTTGTTTTTTTGTTTTTTTTAACAGTTCTGTTGACATAAATCCTTTTTGAAAAGTGTGTCAATCCTTCCTCGTGCCCTGGTTTCTTTGAAGCTGAGATCAGCAGGTCCGCTGTTATCTGGGTCATAATGTCAAAATGCCCAAACTGTGACTTGTGTATACAGAATATCCTGGAGTGCAGGAAATACATCATTTGTACGCATAATTTCCTGGACCCATTTTGAAGGACCCTGCCTGCTGGATGGAGGGCTGCGGTCGAGGCTGCCTAATGGCAGTGAGATGAGGAAGATGGTCCTCGTTGTGGCTCAGCCACAGGCTCTCCAGGGAGGCCATTAAGGGAGAACTTCAGCCCGAGGAGCCTTTTGTCAGACCAGAAGGAGCCGGACAGCTGGATGTGTTTCTGACCTGATGATACTAGCGAGTGAGTCCTCACCAAATGAAGGGATCTATTAATATCTTCCTCCGTAAGAGGAGAGAATCTTGGCCCTGGGACAGCATCGATGGACGGGATAGACTTTCACTGGCAAGGAGGAACGATACGATTCCAGGCAATATCTGATAGGATTTCTTGTTTCGCGTTGTAAGAGAGCCAACACCTACTCGCAGAGGGGACGAATATGGTCTGAGAAACATGATATCCAACTGAAGACACTCTGCTTCAGCAAGGCTCCCAGCTTTGATACAGATAATCACAGAAACGTGGACGGGATCAGAGTGCTTTGGTTGCTTTGGAGGAGGGTTTTTAGGCTCAATCCAAGTATAATCCAAATCCAAAAGTGGGTCAAAACAGAATTACTGACGGCTCATTCATATTCCTGCTCGCAGCAGGTAGATGCTTGAAGTGTGTTTGATTAGTATTGGCCTCGTTTAAATCACACCTCCAGTGTCAAGGTCGAGGCAAGCTGGGCCCGGGCCTTTTAACTGTGACACCCCCCCTCTCCCGTGTCATGGCACATCACATTCAATGTAGGGGATGTCGCTGTAGCGGCGGTCTACCTCC